ATATCTTCTTTGCAAGAAGTGCACCAGTCCAGGTAATCATCAAGTGATCCCACCCCGTTACCATTCCCAGCCTCTGACAAACAGAGGCTAGAGACACCTTCCCTGCCCATCCTTGATAATAGCCATTGATGGACCTATCCTTCATGAATTTATCTAGGTTTTTTTTAACCCTGTTAAAGTCCTGGTCTTCACAACATCCTCTGGCAAGAAGTTCCACAGGTTGACTATGTTGCGTGAATAAATACTTCATAGAATCATAGAGCTGGAAGAGACCTCAGGAGGTCATCAAGTCCAGCCCCCTGTCCAAAGCAGGACTAATCCTAACTAAATCAACCCAGTCAGTGCTTTGTCAAGCCGAGACTTAAAAACCTCTAGGGATGGAGATTCCATCACCTCCCTAGATAACTCATTCCAGTACTTCACCACCCTCCTAATGAAATAGTTTTTCCTAATCTCCAACCTAGACCTCTCCCATTGTAACTTGAGACCATTGCTCCTTGTTCTGTCATCTGTCACTACTGTGAACAGCCTCTTTCCATCCTCTTTGGAACCTCCCTTCAGGAAACTGAAGGCTGCTCTCAAATCCCCCCTCACTCTTCTGCAGACTAAACAAACCCAAATCCCTCAGCCTAACCTCATAGGTCATATGCTCCAGCCCCCTAACCATTTTGGTTGCCCTCCGCTGGACCCTCTCCAATGCGTCCACATCCTTTCTATGGGGAGGAGGGGGGCAGAACTGGACACAATACTCCAGGTGTGGCCTCACCAGAGCTGAATAAAGGGGAATAATCACTTCTCTAGATCTGCTGACAATGCTGCTCCTAATGCACCCAATATGGCATTAGCCTTCTTGGCTACAAGGGCGCACTGCTGACTCATATCCAGCTTCTCATCCACTGTAATCCCCAGGTCCTTTTCTGCAGAACTGCTACTTAGCTATTCGGTCCCCAGCCTGTAACAATGCTGGGGATTCTTTCATCCCAAGTGCAGGACTCTACACTTGTCCTTGTTGAACCTCATGAGATTTCTTTTGGCCCAATCCTCTTAATCTGTCTAGGTCACTCTGGACCCTATCCCTGCCCTCCAGCGTATCTATCTCTCCTGCTAGCTTAGTGTCAAGTGCAAACTTGCTGAGGGTGCAATCCATCCCCTCATCCCGGTCATTAATAAAAATGTTGAACAAAACTGGTCCTAGAACAGATCCTTGGGATACTCCGCTAGAAACTGACAGCCAACCTGACATCGACTTCATTTGTTTTAAACCTGCTATCTATTTATTTCATTTGGTGACCGCTAGTTCTTGTGTTATGGGAACAAGTAAATAACTTTTCCTTATTCGCTTTCTCTACATCCGCCATGATTTTATAGACCTCTATCATATCCCCCATTAGTCTCTTCTTTTCTAAGCTAAAAAGTCTCAATCTTTTTAATCTGTCTTCTCACACATGTAAAGTAACATTCCTGTAATTTTATCCAAAGTAAAACGATGGGATATTATCTTCCAGAACATCGATTTTGTTCTCTATTGTCACTGTTTCACAGGAATGTCTGGCTACTAGGACAAATGTAGGCTGTGGTTCTGAAAAACCTAAGCATATGCTTAACTTCAAGAACCTAAAAAAGTCTTTGTAGGATCAGGTCTGTGGTTAGAAAATAAAAACAATATTTATTAATTCTGAATGAAAATGTTACAGCAATTATTCCTCAGATTATTGCCTAATAAAATAGATACACTGTTAATACATGTTGTATTTAAGAATGCATAAAGCTGCAAGTAATAAAAACATTTAACTTCAAAGGAGAAAATATTACATTCTATTACATACCAATCACATATCCATGCCATTGCCCTCTGTGAAACAAAGTTCCTAGATGAAATATTTCTCCAATGTAGTTTCTACTCATATGACAAATGCCATTCTCTTTTAGACCTAAATTTAACCATGTCCCACTCTAATCTGCCATTCATTCATTTGAATTATAAATTTAGAACGGCACACTACAGAATCAGGAAACTGAAGTTGTGGAAGACAGTAGCTTCCAGTCCAACTGTTTTGTGTCTATCTTTCTTTTTGGCACTTGCAGATTCATTATAGATTATTTCTGACCTTTCAGGGAAGATTCGTATTCTTCAGTCTTCACTCTGTTACAACCCCCCCACTCCTGCAATTTGAGTAAATGTGAGCTGTTTTGACTAAGGACTGCAGGATTTGCCCTATGTTACACAGTTAGCCGTTAATTCATTTTGAAGCAGTGCAAAAGCACAGAGAGAAATTTGTGACGATGATACTCATCTAAGTACTTGGTGTTAGTTTATTTACCACAAATGAAGAATTATGTCTCCTTTTGTCAACAGCTCTCCATTTACACATAAATACAGGGACTCACAAACCAGTACTCTTAAGGGCGGAGTTGGCAACTTCAGGTTGTGTTTTGTTAGATACAAACAGAATGTGCTCTGTAGAATTTGGTGTATAATTTTGTAAACAAGGATTACACCCCTATGTGCGGTATATATGTACAGTCTGTGTATCTGTTCTCTGACAAACCAAACAACATAAAATCTGGCCCTTTTTGCAGGCAGCTAATGCATTTATTTCATGTATAAAATCATAATTGTTTTATTGTATTGTATCATGGCAGGTAAGGAACTGGGGCATCCTGTCAACCCAGGGTGTGCTCAGTTAAGTGTGAAAAGGAAGGAAGGAAGCATCCTATACTCTTTTGATGTCTCAGAGGGGTAGCTGTATAATCTGTAACTTTAAAAACAAGGAGTAGCAGTAGAAGGGGACGTCTACGCAGCAGCGTTATTTCGGAATAACTGATGTGATTTCAAAATAACAAAATATGCGTCTACACCACAAGCCGTTATTTCAAAATAAGGCGAGCTGGAGGACTTCTTACTCTGCCTCCTGTAACCCTCATTTCAGGAGGAGTAAGGGAAATCAGAGGAAGAGTGTTCTTCCTTCGACATCCTGCTGTGGAGACAGAGCCAAAAGCCAAATTACACTATTTCAACTTCAGCTATGCAGTTGACATAACTGAAGCTGCATGGTTTAATTCGACTTTTGCCCTGCTGCGTAGACGTACCCTTCAATACTAACAAAATATATATAGTATCGTGAGCTATATGAGGAAATGGGTTTTGCCCATGAAAGCTCAGGATACTATACATATATTTTTGTTAGTCTCGAAGGTGCTACAGGAATACTCTTCAAGCATCCAGGAAGGATGTAAAGTGGAGCATGCAAGGGGTGAGAAAGGACTGGAGCTCAAAATGCCACTGAAGAGCAAGTCCCCCATTGAAGTCTTCCATTGAAGAGCACAAGGTTAGCCAGGCTGGGTAGGAATGGTTCCCCTTACCTCTGTCAGGCTGGAAATGGGTGAGAGGAGAGGGCGCACTTGATGCTTACCTAAAAAACAACAACGAATGTTCCTATGGCGTGAGACTACCCAAAAAATATAGATAGTATCATGAACTTTGTACCCACGAAAGCTCATGATTCGATCTGTATTTCTGGTTAGTCGCTAAGGGGCTACAAGGCCATTGTTTTTTTAGTTACAGACTAACACAGCCACCCCTCTGAGAGTTTTGACAATCCTGTTCTGTCCACTGCATGACATTGGCCACCCTCCACAGACAGGACAGGGTGCTACATGGACCTTTGGTCTGACCCAGAGTGGCCGTTCTTATTCAGTCAGGGGGAGAAAGAAATGGGACACCAGGGCCTACATGATACAATCTGAAGGGGTTGAGAACAACTTGAGGGCTTAGCCCGGCCTTGAAGGGAAAGTGGGTGAGAGTCAGGCCCGGGCTTGGCGTGAGACACAAGGATGTGGGGCATCGAAGGCCCCACTGTGCAGCAAGGTGCGGGAGGAAGCGGCTCGGGCTGGAGAGGGCTGCAGGGGAGGAGGGGGAGCAGAGGGAAATGCAGCCCCTACCGCCAGGCGCGCAGCGGAAGCTGCCGC